TGTGTTCACTCCAGTATCAATACTCAATCAGCAGTGAAGAAGACTCCTTTATTCACCACAACGCAGATATCAAGCACGTGTTCCTGTTTGGCTGGAGACAGGATGCGTGCAACGCCCCTCCCCACTGAGGAACAACACTGCAATACACCCCACAAACACAGTTTCATTCGCTTTTGTTGTTTTGATTTCATCCACATCGTTCCAACTGGTTGTCCAGTTCATTTTTCTTTGACACTGCTTTCTTTACTGTTCCGCATTAAAAGAAGCAACAAAGAAACAATCCGATTCTCTTTCCATCATGCAGAAAAATCTTAACACTAACAAAGGGTCTCCAGGTGAGGTCCACCATCTCCCCTCCTTTCCCCTTCAGGCACTAGAGAAAACCACTGCAAGAGAGGCGACAGTGCAACAGACAACACACACTTTCGTCTCTGCGTTGCCTCAATACTACTCCTCTCATCATCACCATCAGTCTGCAATAAAGCAAAAAAGAACAACAACACTGACTATTCATAAAAACAGCAACATAAACTTTATTTTATTTTTGCATCACAACCTGTGTGCAAGAAATCACAACCCAAGTGAAAAATAAAAACTACACCAAAGGAGTTACACCATCGTAGGGCAGCAACTAGAAGGTAACAAAACCACAGTCATAGCAAAGTACAAAAAAAAAAACCCTGAAAAGATCCCCTGGCAGGAGGCTCCATCTCGTCAAGTTACAACCCTCTCCAGTAGGCAATCCAACCCTGTACAGCAAGAGGAATATATTGGTATAATACACACTGCAATACCTTCTCCCAGGTCTCTAAAACTCCAAGAGAAAAAAAAAAGAACAAGTAACAGCTTACCAATAGAAAAGGGTATTCCTTTTTTCCCCTCGTATTCCTTGCAATCATATTCATCATGTCCTCAAGGTGCACCACCAAAGAGGCACACCCAATAACAAAAACAAATCCCCACCCACTCCAAACACACACACACACCAACAACAACATTGTCAATCAAGTAGCCCAATGATCCAATAACGAGAGAACACATTAACACAGCATTGGATTTCCTTACACTAACGTCTCTTTAAAGGCATCAAGGGAGACAGTCAACAACACACAACCAAATTCTTGAGTGGACACCGACCCTCTGAACAAAATCCATTATATTCAAACTCAGTAACTCTGTGGATTGAGTACCACCTGCTTGGTGAGAGAGCATTATGAAATATCTCAACCCTTCCTTGGGTTGTGTTGCAGTGCTTTGTAGTGTGGATACCATTCTCCACACTAATGTCTCCCTCAGTCACACACTTTTTTTTTTCAAATATTTATCCTTGATAATCATTCAAAAAGATGTGTCCTCCCCTCTCACAATGTCCATTGCATGGTCGAACACCATTAAAACGAGGCAATAGATCACAAGGAATGCTCTGTTCAAATATGGTCATAACCCCAGAAACTTGACAAAAACAATGCCTACCACACGGGTAAATCACGTTTTTTTTTTCTTTTTTTTACCTTTGGTTATCGCAGTATTTACCCCCCGGCACCTCCCATTATCAGGAATATCTCGTGGGATTTTCTACTTGCGCACAACGCCATGCTGGATCAAGATTGCGTAAACGAGATGCTTAGCACACGACTTCTTTTGGTTAGGTACCCCTTTGGGCGATGAATAATGTACCTGTTATAATCCATCTCGTAAAATTCTCGTAGCAATGGGAGCGAGATTCATTTCTAAACAGTTATCTTCTCAAAGTGGCAATGGGAGCCAGAGAAAGAGTCTGCCACACACAGTATTCCAAATCAGCCGCAAGAAAAGGATACACCAACTAGTCAAATAACACCGTCAAGAAGTAACAAGGGGAATGCTGGCAAACCATGATAGGGTATAATAGGGGCAGTTCAAGTAGAGAAGCATATGGGACTCTGTACTCCACTTTCCCATTCCCCAATCAGCCCTCAGTGTTCACCAAATGTATACCGTGGTACACACAACACACTGTGGACCTCTCCAGAATGAGTCAGCTCCCGCAGAGAACACAGCAATCAAAACAAACCGCTTAAACTATATAAATGTTCATGTACAGTGTCTATTCATCTATTTTGAATCAGCGTACATAATGGTGAGAAAAAAAGGAAAAACAAACCCATGCCAACAAAAACACCAAGTAACGAAAACAGATTATTAGGAGATCATAACAACGATACATCCATGAACAACATTCTCCCTGTGGAAAAGAAAAAAACATCCATACTGATGATATTACCCCAATAAAAAAAAACATTAGACCAATCCCTAGAGTGAAAATTCCTCACATACACACACAAGAGAAACAGAATTAAAACAAACACACAAGCGTATATATGGAAACATGATGAAAAGAAGTATATACACACAGATTCATTGAAAAAAAAAATTTTTTTTACTACACAAGAAAAATGTATATTTAATATCATCTCATTGAATCCCTGCCATGTCCATACATCATTCTCATCCAGTGCGGCCCTCAATGTGGTCGCTTACTCCTCTGTTATATCCGCACTTTGCAAAAGGTGAGGTCCAGATATCAAGCATCTTGTGTGGACAAAAAAAGTGGCATTGGGAATTAACCCCTGGACTCCAGAGATTGTAGCACACAGTTAGTTTTCCAGAAAAGAAAGAGAAAAAAAAAGAATTCCATGGTGCAGAACACAAGGGAAAAACAGCAAAAAAACAATTAAAAAAAAAGGGTCCACAGTATGGAGAGCAATTTTTATTTACTGATGCAACCAAGCCCAATCGGAAATCATATTCACGTCGTTGCACACACATTTATGGGAGACCTGTTGCAAGAGCCCACAACCTCACCACAAGCATTGTCAATCCATATCCATATATACACGAACAGTGCCATCAATAGTGTTTTTGGGTTGGATATTATTATCATGGATGTTGGGCAGAGTCTTCTTCGGCAAAAAGTGTTCCTGCACCTCGTTCGTAAAGGAAACCGGCACCGTGGTTCCTATAGGTGTCTTCTTTTCAGATACGTTTTCGCTTAACTGTTCTCTTGAGTTTGCGGTGCCTTCGCAGCTATGCGTTTTCGGTCCTGTCTCTGAGGTGAATCAGCCGTCTTCGAATTCGCTTGCCCTACAATGTTTTGTATACTCTGTGACATTGGTTGACTAGGGTCGTACAGTAATGGCGGTAACCGGGGTCTGGGAAGAAGCTACCACCGTTTGCTTCTCTGAAATATCCTTTTCCGGTTTGTTCTACAAAGCATTACCATTCTCCTTGTTCTTGACCAGTACATCAATTTCCTCAGTATCCAGTGCGCGGTTGTACAGCAAAACGTCTTTCACTGTTATATGGACAATTTCTTCACCCGCGATGCTTGTCTTGGGTTTGGGTATAGTGCGGCTTCTCTCGTCATTGTTTTTACCGTCCCAACCAAAGTAGAAGTGTGATACCTCTTTGGAATTTTGAATTTCTGCGTAATATAGTTTATTTATACGCTTACCGTTGATGTACACAATACCTTTTCCGTCTTTAAATGTCAATATCACTGAATATGCTTTCTGAAGTTCAAACTTAATTGTTGATTTCTCCGCCTCATCCTTCCTTATAGTGCTCCACGTTTGGTCTTTATTGTATGATACTCCAAAAAGAAGTCCCTTTTCGTTATTATCCAACCTTACACCCAACAAAGGACTGCTTTCCTTCTTTGGTACCTCGTGGATAGTCACCGTCGCCACAAGAGTAAAAGCATAGTTTGTAAAGTGATACTGCTTCGCCAGTTCATTTATACTCACAGGCCATCTTGCTCCTGCATCAACACCGTTGAACTTCAAACCATTAGAAACTTTCTCTGTTGTACCACTTACAACGGCATTCACGCCGAGGTATTCATCATTCCATTTACTCTCAGTTCTGTTTTCAGACAAATAGCCCACCAACCCAACAGTGGGAACAGGATTTTTCAACTGACGAGATGATGGACACACTTTACCAGACAAGAGCGCGTCCTGTTTACTCCACTTGTTTAACACCCTCTTGATCTCCTCCATTGAAGTCGTAAGATCCACAAAAAAGACTTTGTACTTACCTGCCCCTTCAACAGTCTCATACAGACAGTAGAGTTTGTCACCCTTGAACAATAAAGTGCTTCTCTTCACTTTTTTCTTCTCAACAATCAAGCCAACGTGATAAATACGTGTGTTATCAGTGACCCATAGATGGAGTTTGTTCTCTTCTCCAGATCCCACGGACTGCAGAAAAAGAATGACATCTTTTCCATCAATAGTTGCAGTAATAAAATTGTTTTGACTTACATGCTCAGTAGTTTTAGTGGAGGTGGCCCACACACGAGAGAGTGTACTGGTAGACTCTGTCCATGTATCTCCCAAATCAGTGGACTCGTACACTCTGTAATGGCCGCTGGTATGCTGAGCAACCATCATTAAATTATTTTCCCACTCGAGAACAGCAGGATTATAAGTACCTTCGTCAGTCAAACCACCAACGTTCCAATCACCATGTTCGAAGTTGTCAACCATAACTGATGATCTGAATTTGTCGTCCGCCGTGAGAAATTGCACAGGAAACACAAAACCATAGTTTGTCATTCTCAAAATTGGTGTAATCTCGTCAGCAAGGAATCGCACAACCATTTCATTTCCATTATAAAAAGGAAATGCAACATTTAAAGGAGTGTGGCTCAACATAAACTTTCCGCTTCCATTATTAGCAATAGACATACCTACAAAGCGAAGAGTAGAATTCTGAATCTTGGTTTGCGTAGATTTGGAATCATATTTACTTGGAAGGGCCTTGCTTTCCACAAGAACAAACGTATCATGAGAGGTACCATAATCCTTAGGGTTCCAGAGACTAGCATTGTAACTGTATGAAAAAAAACTGAACCTCTTTTTCTTGATATCCTCCCACTTTTCTCCATTGTTACTGCTTTCTCCTACAAAAAAATCGATGAATTCCGTCTTGTCTGCAAACAACTGTAACAAACGAGAAGTAGCAACTGTCACCAGTTTCTTATTCCCCAACCACAGAAGATGAGAACCATGAAATGGATGGAATGGGTTCCTGTCAGTTTCAAGAAATGGTTGAATTTTTTGATTTCTATATGAGACATCTTCTTCTAGTTTCATGGCATCGGTGGATTCCTTTGTTTGATACACCTCTTTCGAATCTCCACCAATTGTCCTGATTATACTTTCTTCGGAACGACTCCCTTGTGCATACCCACTGATGCAGCCCAGCAGCAAGATGAGCAATACAACAAACAGAGAGTGACTCATGTTGTACTTCATGGTTGCCCTTCTTTCTTCTCTCCTCAGTCCTTCTTTTCTTGTTGTCTTCTCGTCAGATTAAAGAGGTTATTGAATACTTGTAGTGAACGCCAAGAAGTACTTGTGTTAGTATGTGTTGCGGATGATGATTCCCTTCAAGGCTATAAAATTGCAAAGTAGCGTTTGTCGCTTAGTCTTCCCCTCACAAAATTAGTACAGGAAAGAAAAAAAGAAAGAAAAAAACAAAAGAGAGTGAACAGACAAGAGAAGCACAGAGGCGGACACACCACAGTAAAAATAAACAAACCCCATTTCATCAAGTACAGTAGATTCATAATCACAAAGAATAAGCACACAGACTAAGGTCAGATCGTAAAACAAAACAATGAAGCAATGCACACATCATCCCATCCATAGGTTGAGTCCACGCACATACACAAATACGCACATGCATGTACAATCAGAATACGGCAAGCGGCCGTTAGGGGAACACCCATGTGAAGAAGAAGAATATTACAACAGCAGAGATGTATCCTTAACCAACACCATTGGCTCTCAATCTCCATTACTTATTCCATTCCCAATGGAAAGGAAACCACACACCCCCACACGTACAAAGCAAATTATCCAGTCAAACAACACCGTCAAGAACAAACAGAGGGAATGCTGGCAAACCATGATAGGGTATAATAGGGGCAGTTCAAGTAGAGAAGCATATGGGACTCTGTACTCCACTCTAGCATTCCCCAACCAGTCCTCAGTGTTCACCAAATGTATACCGTGGTACACACAACACACTGTAGACCTCTCCGGAATGAGCCAGCTCCTGCAGAGAATACAGCAATCAAAACAAACCCCTTAAACCATATAAAAGTTCATGTACAGTGTCTATTCATCTATTTTGAATCAGCGTACATAATGGTGCGAATAATTTCTTTCTTGAAGGAAAAAAAAACATGTGAAAATATACGCCGCAGCATGAAAGCATTTTAATTGGAGATACTGACGGCGATACGCGCAGAGCAATATTCTGCCAAAAAATGAAAATAAGACACCTCACCGACGGAGCTGCTCTGCATTTTTGGATTTTCCAGCGCCCCCCGCCACAAAAACGAAAATCCCGATTCCGAAGGGGTTCCCGGTTTCTCACCTTCTTTCCCCCCGGCGCCCGCCGCCCTCAGACCCCATTCCCGGTTCCGCTGCCTAAGCCGCCTTTTTTGCCGTGGGCCGTCCGCGCGGTGTGGGTTCGGGGTGGGGTGGGGAGCCCGTCGAAAATCCAGGAGTGAAAAAAAGGGTGCGGCGCGGGAACTCCGCCCCGTTCCGGCAGGGGGAAGCGAACGGCGGGCCTGGCAAACCCACCGGGTTTTTTTTTTTTTTTCATTTTCTGTTTTTCTGCTTTCTCTTTTCGTGGCGTCTATTTGGGACCGTTGGGCCCCTAGGCCTCTATCGTTTTTTTTTTTGTTTTTTACGTTCTTTTCTTGCGCCGGCGGATTGTTTTTTCCTGTTTTTTTTTTTTTTGTTTATTTTCTTTCATCTTTTTGTTTGCTTCTTTTCTTTTTTTTTGTTGATGCCACTCTGTTTTTCATTTCTTTAGATTCTTTGAGATGGAATATCTTTCTCACTTGTACAAGGAAGAACCTTATCGGGATTACATCGACAATGATCCGCCATTTTCCCTTGCAGTAGTTGGCAAGAAGAATCTTCCTATTGCTGAAAGTTTATCACGTTTTTCAGAGTCCGGTACACGTTTTCGAGTTAATTACTTTACTGATATAAAAACACTTTTCCCTCAAAAAGTTAAAGTTGGCTTGACTGGTGATGTTTTAGGAATTTTTAAGAGCAAGTGGTGTTCTAAACATTTACAGTCTAAATGCAGTTGTCTTATGTTCTGCTTAGACTGGGATGAGTTGGGGGAAACATCTTTAGATGAGGTTTGGTTATCTAATATATGCAATCAATTAAGGGAATATATGAATTATTCTAGAAGTAAAGTAATTATTGCTCTCGTTACTTCGAAAGAAGTTAATTCAAATGTTAATTCCATAGTACAAATTGAAAAACTACAGTATGACGTAAAAGTGTTTTTGGGTAGCGAGTTCAAATATGTTTTGCCCTTGTTTGAAAATGGAATGGAGGTGAACTCGGCTGAAAAACTTTTTCGCATGGCCCTAGAGCTGTCTACTAAGTACCATAAGGATGAAGTTTCGCGTATTAAAAATAGTAGGTTAGATCGTAGTTATATAACAGTAAGACGAAAGTTTAAGATTGCGTGGCATTATCTTGTTTTAAAAGATGTTAAAACTGCTAAACGGTATTTTGAAGATGCTTATAGGTCTCTTAGGGATATATCTCCTTTTTGCCCTACGATGGAGTCTAGGATTTGTGGTACTATTTTGATTTACCACATAATACGTGCTGCTTCTGCAGAATCACTTATTTCTTTCGATGATCCTTATTACCGTCTTTGTGAAAATCATATTTTATGGCTTGGACAAGCAATTGGCTCATCATCTTCAGAAGATAAACCGGTGGCTAGGTTTTTGAAATTACTTCTTTTAGGTGAGTGTTATGATTGGATAACAAAATATACTGTAAATATTACGGATAATGTTAAAAAAGATCTGATGATATCGTCACTTGGAGCTTTTGAGGATGCATTAAACATGAATTGCTCCTCTTCTCATTTAACAGATGTGGTTTCGGTACCTTTTTTTCTTGGCTCTGAGTGTTGCCTAGACTCACATAGTTGTATTTTTTATTCTGCTCAAAGTACAGAAATTCTTTCAGAACGAGTTCAAGAATTACTAAACCGAATTGGAACAATGGAAAAACCTTCATTAGAGGCATTATTTCTTTTAGCTCGCGCAAATATTTGGTTTCGTAAAGTGGAAGAAGTAATTTTCTTTTTGAATAGGTTGCGAGAATTTACTATGGGAACGTATCAAGAATGCGAAGTTTTTCATGGACTCTTAATGGAAGTTTATAGATCTCTTGATGGTAAGCCTAGTAAAAAAAATCGGGATGAAGTTATGTTTTCCTTTGTATCACTTTCTTTTGGACCTGGAGAAGGAAATACCCAAGGACGATATCTTCGTACCTTTTTAGACATGGCTAAAACGAATAGTTGGACTGATATTAACCTGTATTATCCAAAAAAGGGACATTATGCACCTTTCACATGTTTGTGTAGTTTTAGTGAATACTACCACGATTGTTCATCTAGAGCCAAATTAAACCTTGAGATTTTTACTGCTTCTGTGGAATCAATTATTGTAGAATCTCTGTCTGTTACCATTTCTAGATTTTGCGATGATGAGAAAAAAGCTTCAAATACCATTTTGGTTTCAAAGGAGAAATTTCAGGTAAGCTTAAAAACTTCTTGTAGTTTTTTAGTTGAAATACATCTTGATGAACCAGGTTTTTATCATTGTGCAAATGTTAAAGGGCGTGTGAATTGTAATGGTGTGATTTTAAATGTGGAGTGGGGATTGAACAATTCGGTGACGTTGCAGAAAATTCCGAGGGAATTGGAAATAGTTGGTGAGGTTTTAGGTCCGTCAAGGCACAGACCTTGGATATATGTGGTGAAACCAGTCTGTCTATTGGAGTTTGATGTTCCTAATAATATTACAGCTATTGAAGGTGAAGAAGTGAATGTTAATATTGTTGTTAGGGCAGCGAAAAATTTGGAAGGAAATGGTAGTCTTGTATTGCCTTATATTCCTAATTTGTATGAGTTTACTGGAGATATAATTTTGGAAAAGCGATCAATTTTTAGAGATAGTCAAACAGATTATCCTGCCTTTGTTTTAGACAAACTTCCAGCAATTTCTCAAAGTAGTCCGCTTAGATTATCAGTAGTGTATAAATTTCTTCGTGCTGGAAAATATATGGCGCCAATATTTTTTAATTACAAGTCAGCGAATTATTCAGATAGGGAGATTTTAAAGAGAATAGAGGTTAATGTTTTTTATCCTTTTACTCCTACATTTACCCTTCTTAAAGTTCTGCCTTGGAATATTACTCCAATGAAGGTGGATGTGGTTTTTGGTTCTGAAAATACCCTTAGTATCCCAGAAAGTTCTTCTAAATATGTACAACATGAGGTATCTATCTTACTTCCACCACGTGATGGAATCAATGAAATCGCAACGATACCACATAACAACAAATCTATTATGCTCTATAATGGGGTAAAAGAAAAAAGAGAAAAATCGCTTGATATTATCTTTTCCAGGGGTGAAGAAATTGTTGTTGAAATTTCAATGACTTGTCAAGCTTTACGAGGCTTAAAAGTATTATCCTTAGATGTTGTTACTGCATATGATGTATTGCTTATTTCCCAAGCTGTTGGTCAGCTCCCATGTTGTGTTGAATATCTAGATATATTGACTGTAACAGCCAAAGTTCGCGTATTACGTCTGGGAAAATATTCGCTTGGATTTATTCGAATTGTTTTAGCTTCCGAAGATGGTATTCAACGTACTATGTCTGATCTCCCCTTACCTGAAGTAGGAGTGGAATCTACTCCCTTTTCCCTAACCTTGAGAAGTCCATCTGTTGCTATTTTAGGTTCACCTTTTCTTCTTTCTTTTGATATTGTGAACAAGACTGAGAGTTCGCAAAGCTGTGAGTTGATTATAGAAAAAGATGAAGCCTTTTTTGTAATGGGTGGGAGGACTCAATGGAGTTTCTGTATTGGCCCTAATTCTGTCAAATCAAGTGAAATAATATTGCAACCACTTCGTGTTGGTTCACTCAAACTTCCATCTGCCTTTGTCAAGCACTTATCAAGTCCAGGATCGGGGTTAACGTTTGTGTGCCAAAGCGATTCACAGAGGGTTTGTGTTCTACCGTCCTGATACAATGGACAATTTATATGGTACGTCTTTTTTTTTTGTTTATTTCTTTCGTCAGAATTACAGTATCATGGAGAGGCTATTATAATAATTGTTATTATTTTTTTATTGCGTTTGGAAAACACAGAACGTTTCTTTTTTTTTTTTTCTGTTTTTTTCTTTTTTTTTTTTGTTTGTTTCCTATTGGTTTTTTTTTTTCATTCGATTCAATAGGGTGGGGTTTTCTTTAATAGAAAGAGTGGAAGCAGAAATAACTCTCTAGAGAGCCGTGTTTTTTGAGATGCTAGAGGAAGAAGTAAAAACATGGCTTGAAAGGGTTATGTTGTCAGGCCCTACTACTAATAATAATAGTGATGATGATGAAACCCTTAGAAAACTCAGGAAAGTGCCACTTTTGCAATTGTCATGCATGATGAGTACCTACCTTACTGATGAAAAGCAAGTTTCCAATGCTCTTTCCTTATTGGCTCGTACTACTGTAGGTCGTGATAATCTAACAAATGAGGAAGCTGAAGTGGTTCTAAAGTTTTTTGAAGGAAAGCTTTCTACGATACAGACAGTTGAAGCAGCTGTAGAATCTATAGCATTAGTTGTTAAAGATTTGTCTTGTAAACAACCATGTAGTGAAAAAATATTTAAGCTTTTATCTGATGGATTTTTGCAAAATGTCAGATTCCAGGCGTTACCCAATAAAGTTCGGCGTCATGGATATGATGTTCTTATGTTCATGGTGTCAAAAGAAACTCTTCCATTGTTTACCACATCTTTTCTTCGATTACTTTTGGATGCTATAGATGAGGAAAGTGAACCAGAACTTGTAATGTCTGCTTTTGAACTTCATTATTTTGTAGGTACTTATACTGATAAAACTGTTATTGATCCTATATTAGACGATTACTTTGACAGTCTTTCCAGTTATTTTCCAGTTGTATTTTCTCAACCTCCGGGATGTAAGGTTACTAGGGAGGACTTAAGGCGGAGACTTACTAAATGTTTGACACGTCCACTATACCTTGATTCTTGTGTTTTATTTATACTTTCAAGGTTATCATCTCCATCATCTGTTGTAAAACAAGAATCTATTGACATTATTTTGGAAATATTTTCTCCAAATTCAGAACATGAAATGAAATATCTGAACTCTCATGTGGTTTCTGTAGTAAATCATATTAGGAATGAAATTGTTAAAGCAGTATCAATAGGATGTTCTGATAACGATTCACTTTTAAAATGTTATATGAATGTTTTAACATATATTGGTAAAAGATCACATGAAATGTCTTCTTCATTTGTTTTATCTTGGTTAGAACCGATAACCAGTGGTTTTTTGGCTAGTTTAAATTCTAGTCGTGTAATATGTTCAGCATATGCAACTATGTTTTATCACCTAGCTTCTAGTGATGTGATTTGTGGAACCACGTTAGCACATTATTTTCTACCACTTTTATTCCTAAATGTACCACAACAGGATGATAGTAATAGTGAAAATATTTTTCTGATTATTTCAGCATTATTGACTGGTATTTTTGATTTACGAAAAAGTGACAAAGTTTGTGAAGAAGATAGTTTGACAGTTCAAACATCTGTGAGAAAAAGTTTAGAAGCAAGTTCTTTAAGTTTATTTGAACTTATGAAAAAACTTTTGAACTCATTTAATAAGGTAGAATCACCCACAGATTTCATTAAGTGTGAGGTAATTTCATCTCTTTTAAATCTTGAAGCATGGATGCATCCTTGGATGCCAGAAGAACTAATTAAATTATCTTATAAAAAACTCATTTCACTTTGCCTCCTTGGAGATGAAGAAATTAGCAGAAAAATTGCAAACTCTATTTCTTCCATTGGTCGTGTAGAAGGAAATGTATTAAATGATATTCTGCTCAACAATCTTGACAATGTAGACTTTACTCCAACTGGAGTTTTTGCATTATTTCATGGATTAATGGTTTCATCAGTCTCTACGGCACTCGTTGCAATTGAACATTTGTTAAACTTCTCACGTGTTTCATTTACTGAATGCCTTAGTGAAAGTGATAAATTTTCTTTTTGTCGTGAAGCCCTATCTGTACAGAAAGATATTTCTACGGAGAAACTTTTACACTTGTTGGTATTAGTAATTGAAAAAGATTCTGTGGCAAGTTTTGAACTTGTTTGCGAAATACTATTAAGGTTACCCTTACCTTTACATAAAGAAAACTTGTTACAAATGATTAATGGGAGGCGGTTAAGCGTTTTGGCTATTGCTTTACTTTCTTGTGATTCAGATATATTTGATATTGAAGGATTCTCAGAACATTGGGTAGTTGAATTACTAGAGAATGGTTTTAAGGAAAAATTTAGTCGTTTGACAATGCAGGGGATATCAGCGATATGTGCCCGTTCTCCTAGTATAGCTGATATTTTTCTTGAAAAATCGAAAGATCTGAAACCAGAGGTTCAACTGGAGGTGTATGCAGCAATTACTCGAGGATTGCTTATAAATGGTGTAATAATGAAAGAAAAGGTAGAACTCATTACAGATTATTTGCTTACTTCAATTTATAATGGAATCGATGGGGATAATGCATTAACTACTACATTTTTCTACCCAAAGTATTCTAAAAACAGGGTTAGTCTACTCATTCCACTTATTTTGGGTGCACAAAAAAATATTAATTCTGTACCACTCAATTTATTGAAGATAATCGTATCCCTTATTAAAAATGAATCTTTCTATTCAGACTTTAATTGGAGTATTGTTATTGAGTTTACTCAAAAAATAGCACAACAAGAGTCATCTGAAGGTCTTGTTGCTGGTGTTTTGGATCTACTTGACTGCATACTTTCTCGAATAGACTCTAGGGATTTCTTTATGAAGTTTCTTGTAACTGATAGTAAAATCTTTCCTTTAGTAATTTCTGGTATACGCTCTTCGACACTTCAGAAACGGTGTATCTCACTAAATTTATTATCGGAGGTGGCGTTGTTTGCATCCCGGCTTTCTACAACAGGTAATGAAGATGAGTTTGATTGTATGAAGGCAGTTGCAAAGGTCAAGGAGGAAGTACTCTGTGTGACACAAGCATCTCTAGCAGATGACAAAAGAGTGGTTCGTCGTGCCGCTGCTCAATGCAGACATCAGTGGTATAAGATAAAGTAACGGAAAGAATCGGATAATTATTTTATTATTGATATAGAATTAAAAAAAAAAAGTTTTTCTTTTTGTTTTGTGGGGGTGTGGGGGAGGGTTTTTTGCCCTCGGGGATAAAATGATACGTTAGAAGGCATGTTTTTTTTTTTTTTTTTTTATTGTTATTACTATTATTATTATTTTTATTCCTTGTTGTTATTGTTCCTTGTTTTTCTGCAAGTAGAATGAAGATTGTCGTATTTTTGGACGTCCAAAGCGAAAAACTCCGCTCCACTATTGCCTCAGAAGCAGCAGTGGGGGATTCCGCTGAGATTGTACAATGCCAGGGTTCACTTGCGCATACTATTCGACATAGGGGGGTTAAACAGTCGGATAAGGCCGATACTTTTACTTGTTTTATCACGGAAAAACAGTCCCTACATAACGCTGATGTTGTTTACGCGTTGTTTTGTAAGCGTCTGCCTGTTCTATCCCTGATAGAGAGCAAAAGTATTTCAGTATCCTTACTTGAAACTTTGTCAACTCTTGGTGTGGATAATTTAGGTAACCTCCTTGATGCACAAATTGCTGCTATAAAGGCTTTTTTCTCTTTTCAACCAAAAAAAGGCCAAGTGTTCGTTTTTGAAGGCGGTGATGGTGTAGGCAAAGCCACACAGACGAAACTTTTATTTACTCATCTTGAACATCTGGGTTATTCTGTTGCCACTCTTGACTTTCCATCTGAAAGAAATCGATATGGAGGTCTTCTTCGCGAGGTTTTGTCTGGTAAAAAAGGAGGCATACATGAACTGGACCCAAAATTATTTAGCCTATTATTTTCACTAAACCGTTTTGCTTGTATGCCTGAACTTCAGTATTGGATGTGTCGTGGCCGAAAAATCATTCTGGATCGTTACTATACAGCAAACTGCGGACATCAAGCTTCAAAACTTCCAGAAGAAGAACGGAAAAAGTTTATTCATTATCTACAGACAATGGAAGTTTCGTGGTTCGGACTTCCACCAGCAGATATAGTCCTATACCTTGATCTACCTCCTCAAGCAGCCATGAACGCTATGAAGAAAGATCAGGACCGTGGTCCTCTAGATATTCATGAGACTGCCCAATCTAATTACAAGGAAACTGTTAGACAAACCTATTTGTGGTGCTGTCATGAACTTCCAAATTGGTTTCATATAGAATGTTGTGATATAAAAGGAAGTCGTTTAGGCCGTGAGGAAACGCATAATCTAGTGTATAATGTAATAAAGGGAAACCTTATTTAAGTTTTACATCAGTTGGTTCTCGTATACTTTGTAGTGTTGATACAGACGATTTTTTTTTTTTTTTTATTTCATTATTATTAGTCTATAAAATTTTTTATTTCCGCTAGATACTGCGTTGATAGTTTGATGATGGGTGTTTTCACTTGACCACAACCCCCTCACCGGCCTCTACGCAAAATGGGGTGAGAGAAGTCATACAATAGCGGGACCCCAAAGGCTGCCACTTTGGAAGTTCTCAATGTGTTCGTACATCATAGATTGTGTTTTTTTATGAATCGCCTTCGTTACTAATTTGGGATTTTTGCATAGATATTATCCAATTTGAGATCTCAGATAAATTGAAATGAGTTCTTATCTTACTTTGTTTTTTCCTTCCCTTTGGGGGTGGGTGAGGCATATGACACGGGGATAAATTTACTCACAATGTTCTTGATTTGTTTCTTTACATTTTTTTTTTTTTTTGTTTTGAACTTAAATATCTTCTTTTCTTTACTTATGTTTTTATTAATAATAGGCAGTAGGAAAATGGTGGCTAAAGTGCACGTGGACAGATCAAAGAAGATCGCCCAACTGACGAAGAAGTCTTCGACGGTTCGTCGGAGTCGTGCATCTCCGCGACTTTATATGAAGGGTACCCTGGCTGGTTACACCAGGGGACTTCACGGACAAAACAAGAACACAGCCCTCATTCGCGTTGAGAATGTTAACACAAAGGATGACGCCGCCTGGTATGTTGGCAAGCGTGTTTGCTATGTTTACCACGGGTACAAGGTGAAGCGCTGTGTACGCTGGTCCAAGGCTCCGGCTCGCCGCAGCAATACTCGCGCCTTGTGGGGTCGTGTCACCAGGCCTCATGGTGGTTCTGGTGTAGTGCGTGCAAAGTTCTCCACCCCTATTCCAGCATCAGCCATTGGCCGAAGGATCCGAGTGTACTTGTACCCAAGCCGCATTTAATTTTCCCACTGCTTTTCGCATTTTCTTTTTCCCTTTTTTCTTAAATAGATAATAAATATCATTTTTTTTTTTTTTTTTGTTTTGTTATTGTTATTGTTTCCCCTGTTGATCCCTGGTATCAACTGGCTTCCTTAGTGTCTCTTGCCTGAACGTGTCAATCTATTCTTTTTTTTTTTTTTTCCTCCTGCTCTTCTTTCTTCTTTGGGCTTTACTAGTACTGTCACTTTATTATTATTATTATTATTATTATTATTATTATTATTATTATTATTATTTTGTAGAAAAGATAATGCTATCAGGAAATAGGAAAATATGAACGCAGGAATAGCGTCCAACGGACCCTTTGGTTCTCCTTATGCTTGTGTTTTTACCTCATGTGCAATATACCATACTCCTTTTCCGATTCTGCGTCTCACCAAGGACGACAGTGAAGAAAGACCAATTGTGACAGCAGTAATGGGAGGTGGATTATCTTCTGAGGTTTCAAGCCTTATTAATCTTGATTTTGGTAATGATCAAAGGTCGGCTTTTTCACAGCTAATAGCTCATGGTCAGCAGGTTACACTCCCTGCACATCAGCTATGCCTTGGTTTAACTTCTGATATTTCGCATTCTCTGTGTTGCACAAATCTGGCTGAAAGGATGAGTAACTCTATTGCGATTAAGTGTTCTGCCTTTATTTTTAAATTTGAAAATAGCGAATCACCGAAAATTATTGGCATTATAAAAAATTCTCTTAGCTGTGCTTTTCACCGTGATGGATTATGGTGTTTATCACAACCAGAGCAAGAATTTGAGGGTTGTGTTTCATATATTTCTCTAAATAATATTTCTGGTTTTAGAGGACACAAATTGAGTGAGAATATTAGTTCTGATTATTCTAGAAATGTAGTTTCCCCTATTTCCGTAGAGGCTGTAAAATATGATGTTGCTAGTATTTTCACGGAACAAGGGGTTATGATTTGTGATTTGAGGGTGAAAGATCTTCAATGGGTTTATAGAATGACAGATCAACTTGTTTCTGGTGCAGTATGCTGTGGAGGAGAAAAAATTGTGCTTTCCTCGGAGAGAGACAGAGCTATGGTGATTGATGTTAGAATGGCGCAACATGTGTTGTATGAAGCCAATTTGTCATTCCCTGTTGCATGGCGATCATCTAGAGAAGGGGATGTGGCAATCGCCATTTCTCGCCGTCAGGTGGGTATATTAAATGTTGAGAAATTGGAATTTTGGGGGGCTTTTGAAAGCTCTGGAGGTGTTCTCGATGCAACGATTATAAGAGAAGATAAACATTCCGTACGAGTTTTGTCCTCCTCTGCCGATGGATGTCTTGAAGACTGGTCAATAGAGTTTTAAATGAATGAATTTTAACTGGCAGAGCTTTTATGAACTTTTTTTGTTGTTGTTTGGGATCTCCAATACTATACATCAGAAGAAAAAAGAAAAAAAAAAGAAGTGTGATTTGGATGCCAAAAGATCTCTGCTCTTTTTTTTTTTTGTTGTTTTCTTCTGTGAATGAGTCTCAAGGGATGTGTTCTCTCCGCCGTAGTAATGAGACCATTGGAATGGGTTTCCGATTTCTGAACTCCCAGGGCAATGTAATTCACTCATAATGCAAGACTGGCCTTTGTGACGATGCTGATCCACGGATGTTCTGCACCAGACTCTACGAGATCTTGGGTTGTCAAAATGAAAATGAAGGTATATATATATATAGTTTGACTGTGTATGTATGAGTTACAAGAGATTTCTCTGTTTTCCTTTTTTTTTCTCATGATAAACCATGTTTGGGGGAGAGCTTCTAAAAACCTGCCTTGCACAACGATTTTATTTATTCATTTGGTGTAACAATAAATAATACGCTGAGAGTACTGGGCACCGTGAACCAATAGTCTGGGTTGGTGTGACGTTTTATCTTTCTGTTGTAGTTCTCAGAGTGAACGAGGAGTTGATATTGGGTAAGATTCTTTTTGTTTCTTCTTCAGAAAAAAAACTTCTCTCATTTCTCTTCTTCTCTCCCTTCTATTGCTACTCTTGCATAGGAAAACTAATCGAATGTCATTTAGTGAAAATATGTCTCGTGATACGTATAGCCAACCTCAACAAGGATATGGGCAGCCACCTGCAGAATATGGAAAACCCCAACAGGGATATGGACAACCACCTGCAGGATATGGACAACCCCAACAATACTATGGAGAAGCACCTGCATTGTATGGACAACCCCAAGAATACTATGCACAACCTCCTGCAGGATATGGACAACCCCAAGAATACTATGCACAACCTCCTGCAGGATATGGACAACCCCAACAATACTATGCACAACCTCCTGCAGGATATGGGCAACCTCAACAATACTATGCACAACCTCCTGCAGGATATGGACAACCTCAACAGGGTTATGGGCAACCTCAGCAGGGAAATACTATTCCTTCTACGAATGCACCGGCGGTTCCTGCTCAAGCGTCATATTATGATTATACTGCGCCAGCAAACTATGGAGAGGTAGAACATTGGGAAGGCACTAATAAGTGGGCGACAAGCATGTTTATGGCTCCTTGTAAAGAACCTTGTTTTTGCATAGCCGCATGTTTTTGTCCTTGTTGCTGTACATTTATGCAACGAAAAAAACTGATGCTTGACGATTGGTCTCGTTACATGTGTTGTGCTGGAATGTGTGGAAATCTCTCATGTTGTGTTTGTAAGGGAGCTGAACCTTGTTGTTTATGTTTGGAGTCCACTCTATGTTTAGCATGTGCTGTACACGGTAATCGGTTCATGATACTTCAACACTACCATCTTGAGAATGATTGTTGTGACGTTGCAATCATGTGTGCGGCATGTATCTTAGGTATTGTGGCAGTGATTCTGCAGAGTGACTCTGTGAAATTATTGGCTGACCTTTTGTATTACATCACTATAGGATGTATGTTGGCTCAGCATGAACATCAAATGAAAAAATTTGGTTACCCAAGGGGGCAAAACATGGTTTAATACCTTTACCATTAAAGGAATGCAATGGTGGGCAGAGCATATTCGATTCGACTAGAATCTCAGTGTGTTTTTTTTTTTCTTTAGCGAAAAATTACTAGTATCATTATTTGTCGTTAAGGATTGATATTTTTCTTAAGATCACTTCGAATATATATATATTTATTTTCGTACTTTAACTTGGACCACCATTTCCCCGTGAAAATAATGTATTCTGCTTCATCGTTGGTTTCTTTTTTAGTTGTTGTTTCTAACTCTAAAGTGCGGGGTTATATTGCCTCCCGAGATGGATGGAGGCAGCGGTAGTGCGAAAAAGCATCAGTGGATTAATCAGGTGGTTTTTTTCTTCCACCCTGTGCGGGCATGGGAACAGGGTGTTGTTGTTGGCATTGATGAGGATGAGTCGAGTGGGCCACTGGTGACCGTGCGATGCAAATCTGGAGAGATGTTTGAAACCCGTACAGATGCAGAATCTTTTTTTCTCCCCACTACTACTACTAAGAGTATTGAAAACATTCCGGATGATCTTCTTGAATTACCTGAGCTTCATGATGCGCTTCTTCTTCACGTGTTAAAGTCTCGACACGCCAAAGATCTTACATATATGCATATCGGAGAAATAATACTTTCTGTTAACCCATACAAGGCTATTCAATCTTATATGGACAAGTGTATGGGTCTTTATCTCGAACACTTGGATAAACCACAAATTCCTTCTAGTCTCCCTCCCCATGTTTGGAGTGTGGCACATCGGGCCTATGTTGAAATGCGTCTCCATCAAAGAAATTATTCAATAATTGCATCAGGAGAAAGTGGTAGTGGAAAAACGGAGGCATGTAAAAATATGTTAAGATATTTATGTGCTGTCTCTGAACGTGTGGCACCAGATACAGTGGTGAAGCGACGGATGCAATGTATTACTGAACAAGTGGAAATGAGCAATGTTGTTTTGGAGTCTTTTGGAAATGCAAAAACTCTAAAAAATGATAATAGCTCGCGTTTTGGAAAATTTATGGAGGTCCAGTTTGATGCTAGTGGAGTTATGGTAGGATTGCGTGTTACACCATTCCTTTTAGAACGTTCTCGTGCAGTTACGTGTGGAACTAATGAACGTGTTTATCATGTATTCTATCAACTAGTCGCCGGTGCCAATCCAGAGTTGCGTGCTGCTCTTAAAATAGAAAATGCTCGTGATTTTGTATTACTGGGTAAGGGAGGTTATATTTCTTCTTCAAATGGAGGATCAGATGATGCAAAGGAGTTTCTCCTTTTACAAAAGGCTCTTGTCAGTATTGGTTTTTCAAATGAGGAACAAAAAGTAGTGTGGAATATAGTGGCATCTATATTGCATTTACAAAATATTTCATTTGAATTAAGAGGAATTGATGAATCGGCTTATTTACGTTATGAAGATGTTGAGATTGCAACCTTTGTTGCAACTCACTTACTTGAGCTTCCACAACCCAAGATGTTTGTAGATTGCCTCACAACGAGTATTGTTGTTGTTGGAGGAGAGAAATTAATACGTACATTATCAGTTCAAAAAGCAAAAGATCAACGTGATAGTATCTGCAAATATCTATACTCAAAACTCTTCCTTTTTATTGTTTGTAAGGTAAATGCAGTTTCTACCTATGGTGCTACGTTTGGCACCACTGATGTTTCTTTTACTTCTACTGAGTATGAAACACCAATGAAAGATAGCAAACCAGTAACCTGGATAGCACTTCTTGATATATTTGGTTTCGAAGATTTTCAGATGAACTCACTAGAGCAATTTTGTATTAACCTTGCAAATGAAGCTTTACAACGACAGTACACGGAGAGAGTATTTCTCATGGATATTGAAGAGATGCGTGCAGAAGGAGTTGAACCTAATAAAACAGATTTTATAGATAATTATCTTTGTTTAGAATTATTACAGGGTTCTAAAAATTCTATCGTTTCATTCTTAGATGATGCTTCAGTGCTTGAAGTGGAGCGTTCAAGGACGAACCCTGACTATGTATTTCTTAATACAATAACTTCAGCATTTCGACCAGATTACCAAACATCACCTGGGAAATCAACTCGTAGTGTACTGAACCGCAAGGAAAAGATAGAGGCTCCTTCTTCTTACTTCTATAGAGGTAGACTGGACGATAATAGCTTTACTATTCGCCATTTTGCAGGTGATGTAAAGTACTGTGTAAACGGATTTGTAGAAAAAAATAATGATTTCGTGAAGGACTCTTCTGCACAAACTTTACAAGGTACAAATTCAGCTGTATTACGAGATATTATGAGAATAAGTGAAGAAGTAGTTGGTTTGATAGGTGACCCAGGTTCTCCTGGATCTCCTACAATTATTTCTCGTGGATCCAAACGTACCGTCGCTTCTACTTTTCGAAATTCACTCCGTTTATTAATGGAAACGTTAAACAGCAGCACATGTAATTGGGTGCGTTGTATTCGTCCCCATTCAAGACGACAACCGGGGCTTTTTGATGGTAAATTAGTTCTTGAGCAACTAGTTGCCACTGGAGTGTTGAGTACTATAAAACAACGACAAGATAATTTCCCAGTTCGCCCTACATGTAACGAATTTATGCATCATTATCATGTTCTTTTTCAATTAAATCCATCTATACGAGTACGTATGACGAATAAAGAAAAGATTATCGCACTACTCTTAAGAGAAAAAATTAACACAAAATCTTTCCAAGTAGGGAATTCTCGCGTTTTTCTTACGCCTGAAGCAAGTCGAGAACTAGAGTCAAAACGACAACAGTGTATGGTGTTGCATGCAAGAGTTATTGAACAGTATGTGACTGCATTTATTTCTCGTTTATACAGGCGTATCTTACTTCTTACTCGGTATGCTATTAAAATGCAGCGTGTATTCCGAACTAATATGTGTATCAGACGTTGCATTAATCAATATTATGATGAACTGCGTCGCAAAAGGTATGAACGTTTTTTAGCAGAATTAAAAAAAATACTACGTGTGGAATCTTTTTCCCGAGCTGAGTTATATGAGGAACGAGATTTGTATATTCGAAATGAATGGCGTGATTTTCGAATCGGATTAGCCCCTTTGGTGGCTGGAGTGCTTCAAAATTTAATATCTATAGAAAGGAAAAAACGAGAAGAGATTGTTTTATCTTCATTTTCATATTATAGTGAGTTTACTGAAACCTTTGACCGGGAGAAGGTTCTTGCATTAGAACTAGAGAAACAACGAATACGTTTAAAACAGGAAATGGATGTCAGGGAACGCGTGAAATTGTTACAAGATGCCATTGATGCTTTTCAGGTAGTTATTAGTGAAGAGAAAATTGCGTTTGAGACTCTGTGGAGTGAGGTCATTAACCCAGGTATAAGGAAACTAAAAGCACAAGCACGTGTCATATGCAAATTAAATCATTTAAAGGAAAAACGTTTGCAGGAGTTGTATGAGGCTAGAGAATCAGAAAAGCGACGCATTGCATTGGTAGAAGCCGAAGAACTACACCGTGAAGAAAAGAGATGGCGATCTCTTGTGGGTGAAGAGCAGTATTTGAAGGAAATTCGGTATTTTAACTCTTTCTATGAAAATTCCTATGATACCCCACCACCGTTACTTGCACTACTCAGGGAGGGTGTCCCTTCTGAAGTTATGCAAACCCCAATCGGTACAAATCCCTTGGCTCCATCTTCTTTGGGATCTGTGATGTCATTTCGAGACTACAGGGAATATATGAGAAATGAGTTTTCTCGTGCTAGTGCTAGTGGAAAAGTACATACGTCTTACATATGCCCACATAATTATGAAACACCCTGTCAACTTTGCAATTTTTCCACTCTTTCATTGTACTCTGGCACTACAGTGAGACCTTCCAAACCTTCTTTGGAGCCCACAGTTTGTCGTCGACTTTATGAAGAAAACACCGACAGTGACGATAGCTTTGATGAAATGAATTACTGAGACGGTCTTATTAATCACGGTAACATACTTGGCTATAACAAAATATATTGTTGATTATTACTATTTTTTTTTTTTTTTTACCCTCTCCCCCCTACACTTAAAACAAAAATATGTCTCCTATATACATATATATATATATATATATATATATATATATATTTAATTTACTGGTATTTCTTGTAGTCAGTATTAGGAATTAACGTGTGCAGTTTCAAGAGAGAAAACAAAGCAGATCTTAAAAACTTTTCTTAAACTTTCTGTTGCAAACATACTTATTTTGTCATTGCTCCAATTAAGGTGTTTCGATAGTTTATTTACTTGCGCTGTTTTTTTTTTGTTTTTCGAAGAACTCTTCTTTTTAGAACCAAGTAATGGCTAGCATTGTTAACTCTGCCGTTCTGCAATACCTAAAGGAGCACCACCCCACCGTCGCTGCAGTATTTCAGAAGGAAGGAAAGGTCGTCACGCGTCAACATCCACCGAGGGGAATAACTCTGGAGTCACTCATTGCACTCGAACAGACAGGCAAAAAACACGCCGCCTCCCGCTTGTCTCCCGGAGGTGAAGAACCCGTCAAAAAACAAAGTAAAACTGAGTCAAGGGCACCGCTGCCAGACAGCTCTTCTGATGATGATGATGATGATGAGCCCGTGAAGAAGCCAGTGGCAAAGAAGGCATCACCTGCAATGAAGCCAGCTGCCAAGAAGGCACCGCTGCCGGACAGCTCT